GGAAGCTGCCTCTCTTTGTAATCTTTGAGATTCTGTGGTTTGTTTTTTCTTCCTCTTAGAGGTCTACATAACCCAGTCCTCCCCCAATAGGTGGTTCAACCCAGTAACCTTCTCACCTTCAATCATATGTTGTGTCTCTAACTGTTGTTCCTGCAGTGGATCCTGCAACCTCTCCTCAAAGGAATCAACTGTGGGGGAAACTATAGTAATGATGTTGGGTTCCTCTCTTAGCACTTCCTTGGGAGGGGAAGGAGGAGTAATAAAAACAAAAGGGGTTGGAGAGCTCAGAGCCTCATTCATTCAGAGCACAAATAAAAAGGAGGTGAACCACCAAATAGAGAACCAACAAGCAAAAAAATAATGGAACAGTAAACCAAGTGACAGCTAAACACTTCCCCACCAAATCTAACAACAAGGAAGACTTCAACAGAGAAAACCCACCCCAACCGCCAATGTGGTCACCACCACATAAGGATCACCTCCTACCAAAAGCCATCATGTTCAGAGCCTATCCACGTTTTTTTAACTTCAGGCAAGGTGATATCTCTTTCAATGAGAATTCTAGCAAGAGCTGGCCTTGCCTTGTTATAAGTATGAGCATCAACTTTAAGGGGTCTACCTAAAGCAGACCTAATATTAAAAAGGGCATTCAACTTGAAGTATGTAATAGAGAGACCGGGAAGCTTGAACCAAAGAGGAACCACAGGTGGTTCTTTGCTAGGATCAAATCCAGGAGTCCATTTCAAAAGTTTCATGGTAGCTCCCCCAATAACTAAAGATTGCTTGGGCAAAGAGCTTAGCATAATCTTCTTCTATTGTCAATTGAATAAACAAGTGCCTGCCATCTAGCAACCCCCGTTGCCAAGCACCGATAAAGTTTAAGGACTCAAAGAAGCTCCTTAAGAGTTCCATCTTAGGGCGACCAAGCTGGAATTTCCCTTCCAAAGTGAGCTTAACCTCTTCATTTAATGAAATAACCTCTTAAGGAGAAAAATAAACTGCAGGTTCCCCCTCTTTACACCCAAGGGGGTGAATATAGGTAGAAGTCCTTTTGCCAGCTAAAGTATCATGAAACTCCTGTGGAAAAACTAACTTAT